AAGGCTCCTTCCCCTCTCTCTCTTTCTCCCTGCCCTGTGTGACGCTGACATCCTCAATTCACTGGGGATCGCTGATGAGAGAGGGGAAGGAGCCCTCTCTCTCTCTTCAGCATTTACTACAAATGGGAAAGTCCATATATGGTAAATGGTGTCACTGGGGATCCCTGCAGACTGGCAAGCATCGATCTGCAGGGATCTCCAGTGACATAATTTACCATATATGGACTTTCCAATTTGAAGTAAATGCTGAAGAGAGAGAGAGGGCTCCTTCCCCTCTGTCATCAGCGATCCACAATCTTTTTAGTATGTCAGTGTCACACAGGGCAGGGAGAGCGAGAGGGGGGAAGGAGCCCTCTCTCTCTCTTCAGCATTTACTACAAATGGGAAAGTCCATATATGGTAAATGGTGTCACTGGGGATCCCTGCAGACTGGCAAGCATCCGATCTCCAGTGACATAATTTACCATATATGGACGTTCCCATTTGTAGTAAATGCTGAAGAGAGAGAGAGGGCTCCTTCCCCTCTGTCATCAGTGATCCACGATCTTTTTATTATGTCAGTGTCACACAGGGCAGGGAGAGAGAGAGAGGGGGGGAAGGAGCCCGGCTGGCACACGGGGACGTGCAGGTAAGGAGAGAGCTGCTGCACATGTCCATATATTCGTGGACGCGCAGCAGCTCTCAAGAATCACTGTCAGTCACAGTGAGGAAGATCAGTGGGGAGGATCCCGTCAGATACGTCGGGATGTCTCCTCATTGCGGCGCTTAGCTTAGCCACAGCCTTACTGTGCATTTTGGCTTATTAGAGTAAATTACATAATTTACTTATTTAGCCTAAGGAATGCATTAATCAAGAAAATATAGAACTCCATAGTTCTCCTTTAAGGGATGTAGGAGGACTGTTTTATATTGCTGCTTATAGGGCAATTGGACTCTGCCAAACAATAAGTGTCAGTTGGCAAGACCCTTCCCACTCTTAGATGCCTCAGTTTTTTGCTTGTGTCCTAGGAGACCTGATGTCTCTACCGAACTCTTGCCCGCTGCCCTTTGCATTTTTAGACTAACTACTGAATGTTTACATGTGGCAGATCAAATGCTGGTTTGCAGAATTGTAATGCATGCCCTTTGAGGGCGAACACCTGTTTGAACCCTACCTTTACAAGGTCACTGGAGGAAAGACCTCTGCCCCAAAAAAGAGACCAAAGCCCCAACCTGGGAAGAAGAGTTCATTTCGTCCCCCTCTCCAGGCTTGCAAGTCCTCGGCCAAGTCCGGTATCTAGTTCCAACATAAACGTTGGACCTCCAAATTTACCAGCAATTCCTCCTAACAGTAAGGGGACACCCCCACTGCTGCAAGTGGAGGGACATCTGCTGGATTTTTTAGATGCTAAAGTAAGGAATGTGATGTCCAGGGGCTACAAGTTAGAATTTCAATCTTTAACCCCACCCTGCTTCTTGCTGTCAAATCTGCCTTCATTGATTCAGCACTAGATTGACCTCCATGCTGCCTTGACACAACGTCTATCTCAGGAAGGTATCGCCTTTGCCAAATGGTAAAGGTTTCAAGGTTTTTACTCAAATCTGTTGACCCTGCCCAAGGCAAAATGGGGGCACACATCCTATTCCTGATCTGAAAACTCTCAACTTAATTTGCATACAGCAATTTCATATGTAATTCACCAGGTCAGTAATTGTTTCCCTCTAGCTGGGAGACTTCATGGCCCTTTACAGACATCAAGGATGCCTACCTACAGTATATGTCCCCTTGTAAGGCAATAAAATGAAATAGAGGATTAACTGAAACTCAGTGGAAACAGTTAACCCTTTAACTCAAAATGGTAACTAAAAATGATATTTAGTGTAAAAAAATCACTAATACTACAGTAACACCACTAATTTTTAATGGGCCATCAGCACACCACAACTCATTTTTTTAACACACAATCATCTTTTTTTTTGTTGCACCGATAGTTCAGTTCTGTGGGTTGTGGCGCATGGAGGCCATTCAGAGTGAAGTTTGTGCTTTACTGTGTGTTGTTGTAATAACCATTATCACAGCATGAAGATGCAAATCTGGTGTCTGACACTAATTACATCCAGTATGTTGTTTCCCATTACCTTTAGAGTCTGTATTTGCAATAGGGTGCCAACAATGTATTGTGACTGCAGGGAGATCTGCCAATTCTGCCTCGGTTCTCCACATAGCCACATTTTATCATACTCTAAACGATTCACTTTACCAGTGCCATTGCTAACATTTCTTTCTACATTATCAGCACTGATGGATGCAATACTATGCCAAAGCTCTTAATATAGATCTTAAGTCAACTTTAGGTCTCCCAACAAGTAATATTCTTACACATTTTTGTGGTGCTGGCTTTGACTGCCCTCTGTTTCACAGGGCTTGGTTGAACAGGCAAAGCCCGTTTCACACTGCATGCAAAGCTGTACGGAATAAAGCAAAACTGCGAGGCAAGGACGTTCATATGCGTGTGTGAAGACTGCATCTTCAGCCAATCCTCTCACGCATTACAAGCAAATGGACTTTGCATGCTGACACATGGGTTTATACGCACAAGCCGATTGGCTAAAGATGACATTTTTCATCTCGGCACGCTCAGCTCGTAAGATGACGCACCGGAGGGAAAATAAATTGACACACTGTACACGACGGTCCGTGCACTACCACTCTCTGCTGCTTCACATGCAGTGTATTACAGGCTTTAGTTTAGGGAAGGCAAGTCAAACTGGTGTTTTGTTTTATGGGGTACATGCAGCCCTCTTGCGCCTCCACTCCAGCCCTCAGTGGTTAAAGAATTTATAAGTATATGTAAGGACTTCCAGCTAAATACTTCAGATAATGATTTATAAATACTGTAAGTTGCAGTTTTACAATAATGCCATATTCCTAACTGCCATCATCTTTTTATTTTTATTTTGGGCAATTAAGTTGGAGAGGCCCTTCCTAGACATAATGTATCTCACAGTAGACAATGCGGCCCCCTTGAAGATCCAGTTCTCTCAATTCAGCCCACTGTTTTACATGCCTAGTTTAGGGTTAGTGACTAAAGAGACTAGCTGATCTGAAGTTGATTCTTTGACAGCTACTTGTACCTACTTACCTTTTTGGTGTGTTTTTGTGCTGTTGTATGTCAACTGTGCTGCAAGCTGGAAATATGCTAACAACTCCCTGGTGTAAAAATAGAGATGTCTCTTCTCTTGGCCTATGCTAAGCAGATGAATAAGCAATGGCTTGTTTGCAACATTGACTGAGAAGCTCTGCGCTGGCTTCATCCTAGCTACAGACAATTCATTTAGAAACATGTTAGCAGCCCTTCAGAACAGGGTGTTTGCTGTATTGTATCCTCTACCATGTTCCACTGGGCCACCTTTGTTTTCCCGAGTCCCTGTGCAGTAGCACCATTTTTATATGTAGTTTTCCTTTCTGTGTACAGGTCTGCATCCAGCTAAAGTATGGCATTCTACATTTATAAAACTGTTTTTTATTTACTATGACAAGGAGTTGGCCTTGTAACAAACACATACTTATCTATTCACCTTTAAGATTTGAATCCCGTGTCCATATTGACATTATGTGATTTTTACCATTTTTTACTTGCTTTTTCATAGTCATTGGGATTGTTCAAAACTAACGAGATAGAATATTTATGATATGCATGTATTATTTTTTAAATTTTTTTTTCCTTTAGAGTGTGAATTTTAAACGTTTGGCAGTTAAATGTGCAGGTGCAACAGATGATTGACATGTTTTCTTTAAAACACTTGCACAGTCAGATTAATATGAAGAGGCTCAAAGTTGTGACGTAACAATTCCAAAGGCTCAAATATCGGCAGAGGATATTGGACAGCTTGTTAGGCCATGGAAATAACGATATATACCTCGTTCTTGCATAAATCTGCTGGATAACAGGAAAGAAGGGTGTGATTGTATTGCTTTAGATGCTGTAAATATTAAAATGGAGATGCTAAAAATTAATTCACTTTTTTGGATTACAATGGACTGTGTTATCAGGTCTGGCATCATTCTTGAGTGATTTAAGCACAGGGATCTGTAAATAAATATACAGTGCATTTAAGGACAACTCCACCAAAACATATTTCAGTTTTGCCTGGCTACCTGCTTGTTGATTTTAATGGCAACTAACCCCCAACAGAATTTTCAATTCAACCCAAGAGCTACAGCCATTATAAAGCCATATGGATTGTGTTCAGCAGCTTGCATTATGTAAGGGTTGCAGTAGGGGCTAAAATAATAGTTTTACAGAAATAAGCCCAATATTTTATACTAAGCATCATCAGAGTCCATTCTGTATGACATGGATCACAATTTGGAAGCCCCAGAAAACCAGGTCCCTACAGTATGCTAATGTCAACGTTTACAAAGAATAGCTCTAGGAAATACCTTTTTAATAGGGCATTTTTCTTTTCAAATAGAGCATTCTGAATGACACCTGGGTATTCAGTTATGGGTATATTCCTACAAGTCACCTGTAGTAATGGGTTTGCTTTAACCCTTACTGTAACCCTGACTGGTTAACTACAGTAGTTGTAGGGGCTGCAGAGATCCTGTTACGTCCTAGCATGGGCCAGTACAAGTTCACTTTAACTCTGAAACCCAGCTGACATGGCCTTATGGCCTATTGAATCAATATTGGAATACAAATGGAAATCAAGATATGAGTTATATGATGTAAGATATAGCTGTATTTTTTAACAGAAATATATTCTTACAAGATTAATTATCATTCTTGTATACATGTACTGTATTTTTGCATAACCAGTGATATGTGATGTATGTAAGGACTGAACGGTAACTGCTAAGTGTACTGTCAAGGCTTATTCTTTAATTGTTTCGGCAAACTGCATAGATGGGTACTAAGCTTACATAATGACATCTTCACTGCTTTTTTTATATTTAAATGTGTTTTTATTGTTTTAGAATGCAGAAAAATTATATATGATGTTTGTATCCTTTACAGATATTTTATACTGGACTTTGAGTCTGGAATCCTGCAGTATTTTGTGACAGAGGCAAGCAAAAATCAGAAACCCAGAGGGTTCTTGTCTCTAGCTGGATCTCTTATTTCCCTGAGTGATGAGGCTCCCTACATGATTGTTGTATATTCTGCCAATGGAGAAGTCTATAAACTGAAAGGTGAGTTAATTAAAGGGGGAATGGGGAATTGGTTGAGTCATGTGAGATTAGTGCATTATATAAATTACTCTTAACTCCACCTCTCTCTTACTGTGATGTATACTTCCAGTTTTTGTCTGTTTGATCTGTTGACCTGTGCTTTATGCTGCACTGGTTTTTCTAGATTTTTCAAAGAATTTTGTGGAATTGATATCTAGAGGAAGCCAAATGAGCAGCAAGCTGATGCAGCTCAGAAGTGCTGGTAATGTTCCTTCAAACCAGTAGTAATGTGGAAGAGGGTGAAGGAAGTGACAGTTTTTGTGCACTATTATAAAGTAATTTATGTCTTTCTATCCATGGTGAGTGAGGTTTTTCTTTAAAACTAAACTGTCAGTCATATTAGTCTTGACTAAGAGCAGTTACTACAAGATTCCTACTATCACCTTTATAAGCCAGAAGATTTTTCTTGGTGTGCCTGCCTGATTTGGTTTTTGTTTTACTAGGGGTCTGATATCCTTGACTTAAAGGTTAATCCCTGCCCAGTTGCTATCCATCGGTCCAGGTAAAGCATTTGAATGTCTATTAAGAACACACTTATAGGACAGGGTGCAGGTAGGTGGGTGGGACTTTTTATATTTTATACTCTCATGAGCAGAGCCCTTCTAAACCTCTTGTATGGATTTTTATTGTAATTGGACTGTCTCCCATTATTTTGTAAAGCACAGCGCAAACTGTTGGTGCTTTAAAACTCCTGAATAATAATATTTTTATTATTAAGTTCGTAAGGGAAGTCAAGTCCATAGTAATAAAGTGTAACTAAATTAGGTGCACGTTGGCTAATAAAGGTGATATCAGACACTTTTTGCTGCCTGCTCTTAATCTTTTACTTTTAAAAGGTTAAATGGCTGACAGATTTACTTTTAAGAATAGGTGCACTTTCAGACTTTCATGGCCGCTCATGAAAGAGGACTTGCGGTGCTGGATGTGAATAAACAGAGGATGTGGCAACTGAACCTTGGTAAGTATACATCTGTGGAGGGTGAGGGTTGGATCAGTCCACTCAGGGCAAAGGGGCAAAAAGTAAATAAACATGAGTTCTCCATGTTTTAAAATGCACTTATCCTTTAAGTAGTTCTAGTTACCTGTGTCAAAAAGAAATCCAGTCACAAGTAGACTTTTGTAGGAATCTGGTCATTCATACCTATGTTATTATAACCATGTACGCTTACTTATGAAATATTTATATTTCCTCCTTATTTGGTCTTACTTTGAGTCTGATGGTTTTGTTTAAGGGGACTATTTTTCAATTTTTTAAAATCAAAGATTCACACAACTCTTATTTAAGAGTCACACATTTCTAAGCAGAATCTTTTGTAAAAAAGTGAATTTTGGATTGAAGTTGTGGGAATCTTGGGTAAAAACATTGACTAGTCTAAAGTCTAGTTTAGTTTAAAGTCTTAGAGGTCTTCTGAGGCCAGACAGTTGCTGCCCTGACAACTGCCTGACCCCACATACTGACTCAAACTCTACAGTGCATAACAGTACCAGCAGGCAGTATACAAGCCTGCTCAGTTGTTCAGATTTCAGACTAAATATTTTTGTGTACTCCCAGCCATGAGTGGTTATCTTTAATATATTGTTTAAAGAAAAGTTGACTTGTGTAGCATCTTTATGTGTCTTATATTTACTGCTTGCTTTCCTATGTATTGTAAGTTTTTAGAATCCATATTTAGAATGTTTGTTGTACTGCTCTTCACTTGACCTGCTTTTATAGTCTAAACCTTTTGTCTCTGTGTTTTGGCATGAAAGATGCCATGTTTTTATCTTCAATCACAGGATTCTGCAAAGTTTAGGCCGAGATGAGCAGCCCCTGTGTATCTCTTGGATCCCCAGGGAGAGATTATTTTATCTAGCTTGGTCCAAACTGTCATCTATTCATGGTAGAAAAAGTTGTACTTGTTCTCTCATCCCCATTACCTTTTGGAAGTGATCCCACTGTTACGGTGACTAAGAATTATTAAGCAATCCTGGAAAAGGCTCTTTTTGGTTTATTCATGAAGTTATTTTCCTATTCTGCCAGGATCTTACATGTGGGAATTTTTTTTCTCTATTGAAGCACATAATTTATAATCGATTGCCAAAGTACTTCAGATAATAATTTTCATTGTTTGTTTGTACTTATTCTAGACCGTGCTGACCCGTGTTGAGGGCATTTTGATTATACTGTAAGAAAAAACTATGAATTCTGGGACTTGAGTCTGTACATCTGCTGTACCCAGCCACCTCAAACTCTAATAGAGACAGACTGAAGTACAGTGACATATTTTAATAAGTTGAATTGCAACTGCTATAAACAGAGATATAGTAGCATTGGATATATGTCTTAAAAATAAGCTATCAACACTACAGATTCAAAAAGCAATATACAAGGACATTTTGCAAATATAATACAGGAAACATTTCTTCAAATAAGAAGCCCCCATTGCACAAATTGACTCCCCTAGCAATCACACAAAGCTCTTTTAATTAATTGTTGGTGTCTTTCTTGGTCCGGGGTTCTTAAACTTTTGAAACCAAGGACACAAATAAAAAAATTGGTACCGTTAAGAATAGACATTTTACCAAAATGTAACAAGATCAAAGACAAATAACAACAATGGTCATATATAACACCATTTTAAACCTTTAATAATGTTTTGGGATATTTTAACTAGTGCCGGGGTCTTTTCACCTCACTACCTTGTGTGTGTATGCAGTGATGTATTTTGGTATAGGCAAGACTAAGCTCAGACACCCCCCTAATCTAAATTTGCCCCACCCCTTCCTGTTAAGACATTTTGTGTAACCTGTCAAGTCGCTGGATACAGTGTGTACGCTGTATTCAGTTACTGACAGATTGTGCTATTAGCGTAGAGGGGAAGCCACTCTATACTACTTTAAATAAAGTGTATTACATGCCACTGATTTTGTGCTTGAACCAACTCGGCTAGGTTTGCTACACAGTCATGTGGTGACCCATCTCAAATACATCTGTGACCCAATGTGGGTCCCTTCCCATAGAAACATTACTCTATCTAGAATTCCAGCATTCCTGCTCCTTGAAGAAATGTTTTGTCCCATCACTGCTGCAGATTATTTACTGGCTATATGCAAAGCACCATCTAGCACATATAATCACTGAAAAGAAGATTCATATCCCTAGGGAAGAAAGGGATGCCAGATATACATCACAAAATACATCACTGCATACACAGACAAGGTAGTGAGGTAGTTTATGTATTTATCCAGTCTTGGGACTGGATGGACAGAAATTCAAATCTTTTGGCAGGGTAAACAGCTACTGTATATGTATTTCCTCTGTGTATTTAGCTATTGGAATTCATCTTTAACCCTCTGTATGAAGTAAGAGGCCCAGGGTAATGTGTTTCTGAAGTTTGACGTATGTTGTAAGACGATTCTTGCTGTTTAAAACTGTTGACACTGCGCAGAATCTCTTTGAGTAAAGAAGTAATACAGTACGTTCACCACGTTTGCGTGAGCATTGATTGCTATGCTGGAGCATAAAAAATAAACTGGACTTGAAGTAATGTGAGTACTTCAGAAAGGGCAGGATGTTGGTATTGGCTGCAGAGAAGTCAAGAGTGAAGAGGTGGGTAGTACCTTGAGTGAGAGAGCAGTGAGGGCAAGACACAGAGAGAGATAAGATAGTGACTTAATGTCCATGTTGAAGATAAACTTAAAGTGACATTAAACCCTCAGATTTTTTAACATAAACCAATACTGTAATGTGTGCCTTACTGTAATCCATGGTTGTTTCCCTTCTCTTTGCTGCTCTTCCTTTTTAAATCCTCATGTCTTCTCATGCTGGGGGAGTACTTCCCTTTGCAGCTGGTTGCCTCTTCCTGTAGTGCTGGCTCAGGTTTCAAACCAGCACACAGACACCATGTATCCCTTTGAGAGACAAGGCAGTCTGCTGCAAAATAGAAGTTCTGCCCAGCATGAGAACAGATACAGATTTAAAAGGAAGAGCAGCAAAGAGAAGGGAAACTACCATGGATTACAGTAAGGCACACATTACAGTATTGGTTTATGTTAAAAAATCTGAGGGTTTAATGTCACTTTAAAGAAAGAATTCATTACATGGTGTAGTGGGAGCCTAGCAAGCCAGATGAGGCCTGCATAGATGGACACAATAAGAAAGGGAAACTGGCCCTGGAGTTAAAAGACCAATCGGAGGCTGCAATGTGGGGTGGTTGTGGAAAGCCACCCTGATATGAGATCGTGCTCTACCCTTGCATGGATAATCAGTTCTCCCTCTGCTGAAATATGATCACCCCTTATATTTGCATTAAACTATCAAACTTTTTTTTCAATAATGAATCCATATCAAACAGCTATACATTGCCCAGCAAAATATTACTTTACTTTTTTGCCCAAGCACTTGCAGTCATCTTGTTTCCAAACTGTTAACCCCAACTCTCTCAGCTCAGCTTCTCTGAACTTCCTGTGCAGGAAGATCAACAAGATCACAATGGAGAGCACAGTCTCCAGCAGCCCTCCATCTACTAGCTTGGAGTAGTGAGAAACGTGGAGGAGGAGAATGCCTTGTCTTACTTCGCCTGTGTGTTTTTAAAGACACATACAGCTTACTAGCACACACAATGGTGGCTCCATAGGACCATGCAAGGGAAAGGGGTCACCCTAAAACAGGATATCAGGGCCAGTGCTCAGGAGACCAACTGATTCTGCAGGAAACTAAAACTTTTAAACATCAAGGAGCAGCATCCATTGTAAGTGATTTAATCAGCATTTGAGATAACTTAAAAACGTTTTGACTTTATTATCTCTTTAACTGCAGGTTAGGTATATATTAAAAAGAGCCCTATAAAAATGAAAAGAGAAGTGTATATGTAAATTAATTATTTAGCATTTGGAAATGCAACTAAAGCACGAATTGCAAAATAAACTAATTTAAGATTCTTGTATCTGGGTTGGTAAAACAAATAGCTTTCTCCATCTGG